TTGTCACACAATTTCTGAAAGCTGACACTCAAACAGCAGAAGCACACACCAAATCTGCAAAACCATACACTAACAGGAATTGATATTGTGGCAAAGGTGTTTGAATATTGTGTTTGTGATATTTTGAATGCAGTGCTTCATTTTGCAAGAGATGTGAGGCATTTTGCATTTTGTGTGTGCAATTCTTGGATTTGTGTGTAAAGTTTTGAAAAAAAGAGGCAAAGTTTTGAAGATGTGTGTAAAGGCCCATTCACACCAAGCACGAGAACTATAAAGATAACGATAAAGATATAGTTCTAAAAATCATTCTCAATAACACTTTACGGATTCTGTGATCGGCTTGCTCTGAGACGCTGCTAATGATATATGTGAGCCTGGAGCACAAAAGCAGTCTTAAGTCACTGGGGTATATTTGTAGCAATAGCAAAAAATACACTGAATGGGTAAAAATTATCGATTTTTCTTTTATGCCAAAAACCATTAGGATATTAAGTAAAGATAATGTTCCATGAAGATATTTTATAAATTTCCTACCGTAAATATATCAGAACTTAATTTTTTATTAGTAATATGTATTGCTAAGAACTTAATTTTGACAACTTCAAAGGCGATTTCTAAAATTATTCTTTTTTTGCACCCTCAGATTCCAGATTTTCAAATAGTTGCATCTCAGCCAAATATTGTCCTATCATAACAAACCATACATCAATGGAAAGCTTATTTATTCTGTTTCAGATGATGTATAAATCTCAATTTCAAAAAATTTAACCTTATGACTGGTTTTGTGCTCCAGGGTCACATATGGAGATTAAAAAGAAGGAGCGGGTGGATCATTACAGGGTGGTTGTGTACACACACTGCCAACACACATTTATGTCCAAACAACATGTGAAAGTGAATTTTGCATAATAGGTGCCCTTTAAGCAGTTGAAAAAACAGTAAATCAGTCCGGTTCGGCTCTCACCTGTGACCTCCAGGTTGACCGTATCCTGCTCGTAATTTTCTCCCAGAGCGACATGGCACCGGAAGCTCCCCGAGTCGTTGGAGCGGAGCTGGGAAAGTGACAGCGAGGCGTTGAGCGGGTCGGCCGAGTATCCGGGCAGACTGACCCGACCCGCATACGCCTGGTGCACCCTGATCACCCTGTCCCGGGCCGACAGCACCGTCCGCTCCTGTGCTCCGGAGCCACGGCTCCAGCGGATGAAGGGGCCGTGTCCCGGGAGCAGGGCGGCTGGCAGGGTGAACACACACGGGAGCAGAGCAGAGCCGGATAACGAGCGCCGCAGGGGAGGACGGGTCACTCTCCGGACCATCGCCGGAGTCTCGGCTCGAGTCAGCCCTGAGAGAACAGAGAGAGAAACAAACAGAGTCAGGTTTGAAGGTGAAGTGTGCAGCGTTTGCTGTGTTGAAGTGGTCTCTGGTGTCTCAGGTTAATGTTCAGAGTCAATAATTACCTACAACAGCAGAATAAAACAGTATCTTAAAATAGCTATATAACAGTATTATTTAAAATCAAAATATTTAAAATATATATATATATAATTTAATATATATATACACTCTTAAGAGTAAAGGTGCTTTAAAGGTTCTTCACAGCGATGCCATAGAAGAACCATTTTTGGTTCCACAGAGAACCATTCAGTCAAAGGTTCTTTAAAGAACCATCTCACCCTTTTATAATCTGAAGAACCTTCTTTCGCCACAAAGAACCTTTTGTGAAACATGAAGGTTCCTCAGATGTTAAAGGTTCTTTATGGAACCATTTAGACAAAAAGGTTCTTCTATGGCATCGTGAAGCACCTTTATTTTTAGGCGCAGCTTTGCTGGAGGCCGCAGGAGCGGGGCGGTGGCAGGGGGGCCGCCCTCGGCGAAGGCAGCAGCTGCACGCCGGGGCAGGATGTACCTGATGGCCTCAGTCTGCTTTGGTCAGCGGAGAACTGCTGGGCAAGTTCTCCACCGTGTCGCCGAAAAGACCGGCCTGGGGCACGGGGGCATTCAAGAATCGTGTCTTGTCCGTCTCGCGGTTGTCAGCCAGTCACAGCCAGAAATGGCGCTCCTGGACCACCATACTAAGCGAGATCCCAATTCGTCGGTCATCCGACGTGACGTCGAGAGTGACCGACTGAAAGGGAACTAAAATTACTCAAACTAAAACTGAAATAAACATATATTATAGATATAAAGTACAAATAAATATAATTATAAACATAATAATATTGTTTTATTTCAGTTAACATTCCTTTTATTTCAAGTAAAGCATTTTTTCATGGTTTTAGTTTTAGTTCATGATGATGATGTCAACTGAAGAGAAAAGTAGTTCTTTGAGTTATTATATTTTGATGAAAGATTATGAAGACAAATATTTCAATACATGCACTGATGAATCATTCACAATAAGAACATGAGTGTGATTTAAGGAAGCAAATACGACTCTTTTTTATTTGACATCAAGAGAAATTCAGATTTTTTTTAGATGTGATCCAAACAAAGGAAAAGCCCAGTTCACTGTTCCTCATAAAACCTGACGGATTATTACAGCAAAAGCCTTTGTAACGTCCTCAAACACAGAAAACACATGAATAATATTTGTCCTCCAGCCTGAGCGTCTGCTCTGGATCTCAGCGCAGTTCATTAAAACACTTCAGAGATGCGAGAGCAACAGCAGAAAGATGAAGCTTCAGCTCACAATCTGACACTCAAGTGAGTTTGTTCTTCTAACAATGGGAAAGCTTTCAAAACAAAATTTTTTACAGCTGAACTCCATCATATTTTCGCTCGTATGAGCTGGATCTCATTCTGATATGTGTTCATGTGCACCTGAAGCTTTTTAGTTATCTGTCAGCTTCACTCTCAGTTCATCCCAGCAGATGAATCAGAATAAACACTGATGCACTGTAAATACAGTAGGAACACAGTCAAGGCTTTGTTGTCTAAAAGCTAAATGCATAAATGTGAATATAAAGGTATCCCTTACAACTCCAATAATCTAAACCCAAGAAAAGAGAGAGATCCACTGTAAATTTGAACATGTAACACCATTATTCAGTAAATACTGGAAAACAACACATTTTATTTTATACTCCAGGTTATTTATAGTTGGCATGTTTTCAGTCACAACCATTTCAACCTCTTTCATTCCCCAGCCTTTAAAACTGTGTTTACAGTAATACAGTCCTTTGATTTTAAAGAGGATTTAAAATGTGAAGCTTGTAGTTTTGTTAAAGATGTCAAGTGAAACCTCATGGAACAAGTTAAAAATGTACACTATTGTTTAAAAGTTTGGCATCAGTAAGAAATTAATATTTTTATTCAACAAAGATGCATTAAATTGATCAAAAGTGACAGTAAAGACATTTATAATGTTAGAAAAGATTCATATTTTCTATTTCAAATAAATGCTGTTCTTTTGAACTTTCTATTCATCTGTGAATCCTGAAAAATAAAATGCATCAGTTTCCACAAAAATATTTGTCAGCTAAACTGTTTTCAACATTGATAATAATAATAAATATTTTTTGAGCAGCAAATCAGCATATTAGAATGATTTCTGAAGATCATGTGACACTGAAGACTGGAGTAATGATGCTGAAAATACAGCTTTGATCACAGAAACAAATTACATTTTAACAGATATTCACACAGAAAACAGCTATTTGAAATGACAATAATATTTCACAATTTACTGATTTTTTGTATTTTGTATCAAATGAATGCAGCCTTGGTGACTTATTTTAAAAGTCTGATAGAGACTCTGTGATAGAAACACTGTGATAGTTGTGTATGTTTAACATTTATTTGTGATGAACTGCCTGCTAGGCTTGCGTTGTAAGTGCATTACTGTAAACACATTTCCCACTGGTTTTTACACACAGATGCCGTCCACAGATATGCAAATGTAAATAACCTGGAATATTGCTTTAAGTGAAAAGGGAAGATGAACGGACGATCTAATCTCCCAAATCCACGCTCTTCGCTGCTACCTCAATTATCTGTTGCGGGAAACGCATAGAAAATCAATTGCAGTTCTTCATTCCATATGGATTTAGGGATGAGTTTATATCCCAGCATTTGAATAATGATATAAGTGATAAAAGCTCAAATCTGCATTTAGATGGTCTCCATTCACCCCCCACGGCTTTGTCTTTGCGCAAAAACCAAGTCATTTTCCTTCCTAATGAGACGTAACTCAAACACGTACGGCTGAATTTGACCAAAACACAGAAGAAGCCCAAAGAAATCATAAAGAAAACAAAGTCCATTTTGTCCTTAAAGGGGTCATATGATGCGATTTCAAGTTTTCCTTTCTCTTTGGAGTGTTACAAGCTGTTCGTGAATAGATAAGATCCCTGAAGTTGCAAAGACTAAAGTCTCAAAACCAAAGAGATATTCTTTATCAAAGTTAAGACTCTGCCACACCCCCCTAAAACGGCTCGTTGCAACACGCCCCCACATATCTACCTCACTATGTGGAAATATTAGCATAATGCTGCCCAAATGTGCACGCAAAGAAAGAAGGCGTGGTTTCAGTAACTGCAGTTAGTGTTGAAGCAGCCATGTCAGGGAGACGCTGTGTGTTTCTAGGCGAAAGCAAAAGCACTTTATTTGGCCTTCCAAATAAGTAGATGCATTTAGGAATCTTTAAGAT